GATGCTCAAGGATCAAAAGAGGAAGATGCAGTTCATTGATGTGGTTTATTTTGACAAAGCTAGTGCATTAAAATAATGCAGAAGTTGTCATGTCAAATATTCAGAAATGAAAAAGTTCTATAATGATGGGCCAATAGGAAAAAGGGACCCATAGCAAGAAATTGAAATGCTTCATATTTGTATTTATTTATTTATTTATTAACACGTTTCTGGGCCTACCTTTATTGTAAAGTCGCAAGGCAGTGTACAAAATGAAATATGTTCCTCAACATCCTGTGATAAGTGGAGTGCCACAGGGTTCTCTCCTGGGCCTGTTGTTGTTCAACATCTTTATAAATGACTTGGATAAAGGTACTGAGGGGGTGCTCAACAAATTTGCAGATGACACCAAACTGGGAGGGCCACTGTGATAACGAGACTATATTTGTCATTACCCAGCAGGGATTTCTTATGTTCCCCCCCCCTTTTTTTTTTGATGGATCAAACACCTGAACTATCCAGAACTCATGGAAACAGGCAAGGGATGTGGCTACTTCCTAACTGAATAGCTATCGATTTGAGGTAATATTCAATAGTGTTATCCACTTACAGAACAGATCAAGTGGTGTATACACTTTATGAAATAAATAAATACTAAATAAATATGGACAGTTGCAGGGAGGGATGAGAGGAAAGGGAAGTTCCATTGCACCCACTTGTGCGATGCTAAATATCACCCTTCTTTTAGATCAGAGAACCCATATCTGATCTGTATATAATGGAGAAGAGCAGGACAGGGTTGAGTCATCCTATGTCTCCCTCAGTCCTGACTGACATTTGTTCCACACATTTATTTCACCCATAGGTCACCTCTCTGAGATACTTGTGTTGAACTGCCAACCCAACATTTAATTTTCAGAAATGGGTTTCCCTTTTGAGATTTCAAAACAAAACTTGCTTTTCCTAATTCACTAAATGCAAGGGCAATAAGGTTCCGTACATATTGGGGAAAACAGTACTTGGGTTCAGAGATACAAGCTAGATGCAAATAAAAGCCCTGTCTCGTGGACGCCACTTTATTGTATTAATGAAAGAAGTTATTGCTACTGAGTCATTTAGCTTTTGGGGTTCTAATCTTCATGCATCAAGTGCAACCACTTAAAATAATAGGTAAGAAAAATTCCATAGGGTCTCCTGTTTGCTTTCTGTAAGTACTAAGCAAACATCGACACTGAACTACAAACATCTATCTTTTAAAGATGTGACATTTCCCCAAAAGCTTGATCTTAAATGGGATACTATCTAAGTACGATAATGGAAGTAATTTACCAGATTGGTCTGGATGTATGCGAAGGCAGTATCGCAACCATGCCCTGCATCATTGATAATGTTATCCATGCACTTCATAGTCCATTAGCAGAGTGATTTGTCTGAAAGACTTGGAAACCAAAAAGGGCAGTCCAGTCTTTTATACTTATTGACATGTACACAAAACAGATCTCTCAGGCTATCTGGGCCTTGACCCAACATACAGTGATTGAATTATTGGGCAGGGGGGCTTAATGAAATCCACACGCCCTACTGCCCAACTCTCTCCCTGTCACACACACATTTTAGCCCAGTCTTGCCTCCTGTCGTCTTCTAACTACAGTACCCAACAGAGCCACACAAAATAGCAAGGCCTGTTCTGGTTGCCCTGTACAGTCGTACCTTGGATCTCAAATGCCTTGGCTCCCGAATGGTTGAAACCCGGAAGTGAGTGTTCTGGTTTTTGAATGGTTTTTGGAAGCCGAACATCCGGCGCAGCTTCTGTAGCTTCCTATTGGCTGCAGGACACTCCTGCTAGTCACACTTCTCTGAAGTCTCTCAGCCTCACTCACCTCAAAGAGTGTTTGTTGTGGGGGAGAAAGGGAAATGAGATGGTTAGCCGCTTTGAGACTCCCTAAGGGGAGTGAAAGGCAGAATATAAAGTCCAAACTCCTCCTCCTCCTCCTCTTCTTCTTCTTCATCTTCGTCATCTTGATATCAGTGGGGTTAAGCACACATAGCTCTGCGCAGGATTGTGCCCTGTTCTTTTTCTTGCCATACCTGCTGCTTGCATTGACTTGAGGGACAATCAGAGGTCATTAAAAATATGGAATGCATTTACCATTTTCTTAGGAGTGTGACTTAAATGTATGTCTTCAACAAGGCCCCTCATTATAAAAGGTGTGATTCATAGGCACAGCATTCGTCTGTGAGATAGCTCAAGGAAAATGTGGTCCTTTGAACCACTGAATGGATAACCTGATATGATTAGTATGTATGTTTCAGTAACTTAAAAGATAGAACAGAATATTTAAGGATGAAGGTGATATGTACAGAAAATGACAGGAATGGGCAGGAGTACTTAGTTTGCTGCATCTATGGATCTAACTGTGTGGTTTGAAGGCACATAGAGCCACTACCTTGCTGAAGCTAAGCAGGCCTGTGTCTGCTCTAGTACCCAGGAGCAATCGGCAAGGAGGGCTGGTGCCATGAACTGAGTACCATTGCTGCTGTACACTCTGGTCCACACACATGGACAGCCCTGACCTCTCTGTTGCCCAGCTCCACCACTGACCTGTCCAATATGGCAGTGATGGTGCTGCTGGGAGGCCACTGCTTTCCACCAAGTGCCATATCTGGACAGATGACTGCCTGGGAATCATGTGAATGCTGCCTTGGGTTCCTTGGTGGAAGGAAAGTGGGATATCAATATCATAATATGAAAAAATGAATAAAAATGAATGGTGGCCAAAGAAAAATTGATACATTTTCAGATAATTTAGACTCATGGGCACCTTCTGTTGAAATTAGACCACAGGTCCCTATATTAGCTTCACTACAGCCTCGGCTAGATTGGGATTTACTAGCCTGCTTTTCCTGGGTAGAGTTTTAAATGTGTAAAAGCACAGGAGGAAAGGATGAACCCCCATCCTCTGACTAGGGCTGGGCCTTGGGTGGAAGTCTGAGATCAACCAGAATCTGGAAACTGGTAGCCATGTGTGATGAGCCAGGAACTTATTAGGCAGACCTGAACAATGTATTCCTTTAGCCATACTCCGTTTCTGTATCAACAGGATAATAAAGGCAAGATTATCATAGGACAGGGAAGGGGACCTGTGGCCCTCCAGATGCTACCTTTATCCCTGAACATTGGCCATCATGGCTGGGGCTGATGGGAGTTGGTTTCCCATTGCTGACATAAGGATTATTAAACTAATGTACATGAAGAACTTTATGAGCTTAGGAAAAGAGCTGCATGCATTATAAGCTTAATTATTTTCTCTCTCTCTCTCTTTTGCCACTTTAATATGGTGGCAATTATTTTTCACACTATCTCTGTCAGCAGTACTAACTCAATGATGGTATTTTTTATTACAGTTCTTACATACATGGATTGAACTAAAGCTTTAGAAAACGTAGATGACAAACGTATGGCAACTGGGTTGAACTTTATTGTACTGAAACACCATAGCTGACAGTATAGGAGGGTAAGGAGTGGCCAGGTGTCTCCTCTGATAAATGACTTGGCCTTCTACTGCAAAGTACTCCTTTCCTAACACTTCATATGCAAGATGGAATTTGTTCCCTCACACATACATAGGGACCAGTATGGTGCAGTTCAGCCATCTTCAATCCTTTCAGACCTGGACCAGCAGTTGAAGGCCAGTGGTGTAGTAGTTAGAGTGTTGGAGTAGGACCTGGAAGACCAGGGTTCAAATTCCTACTCAGTCCTGAAGCTCACTGAGAACTGAACTTGGGCCAGCCACTACCTAACCTACCTCACAGGGTTGTTGTGGGGATGAGAATCATGTTTTCCATGGGGTGGGAGGGATGCAAATACAATAAAATAAAAAAACATAGAAAGCTGCCTTATACTAAGTCAGATCATTGGTCTATCTCGCTCACTGTTATCTACCCTGACTGGCAGCATTCTCCAGAGTTTTGACAGGGGAGCTTTTGGCACTATTTGGAGATGCTGAGGATTGAACCTAAGACATTACGTATGAAAAGCAGGTGTCTTGGCACTAAGCCATGGCTAGGGATGAGTGTATTTTCCCAACTGTGTTTACCTCAATTTCTCATTTTTCAAATCTTGAGTTCATTACTCTACATTTTCACATCAATCCCCACAATAATTTGTTGGAATGTTGCTGCACATTTTTCCTAGCCTACATGCATTGGTATGCACTTCTGTTTCATATGCACATTTTTCCCGCAAAGCCTAATATGCATTTCCATGTATACTGTACTGTACTTTACACGCATACATTACGACAGCACTTTTGGACACATTACTTGGCTGATGTACCACATTTGCAAAATTTGGAGATGTGTGGGTTTTGAAAGATGGCTCTCTTTAGGTTCTCATGCTGTTACAGAAAGTATGAATTAGGGAGGTTCACATTTAAAATCAAAGTGAATCAGATTAATCCTCCATCCCTAGGTATGTCCCTTACCGATGCAGGTGGCGCTGTGGTCTGAACCACTGAGCCTCTTGGGCTTGCCGATCAGAAGGTCAGCGGTTCAAATCCGCACGACGGGGTGAACTCCCATTGCTCTGTCCCAGCTCCTGCCAACCTAGCAGTTCAAAATCACATTAGTGCAAGTAGATAAATAGGTACAGCTGCGGCGGGAAGGTAAACGGTGTTTCCGTGCACTCTGGTTTCTGTCAGTGTCCCATTGTGCCAGAAGCAGTTTAGTCATGCTGGCCATGACTCAGAAAGTTGTCTGTGGACAAACGCCGGTTCCCTCGTCCTGAAAGCGAAATGAGCACCACAACTTCATAGTCGCCTTTGACTGCTCTTAACCGTCCAGGGGTCCTTTACCATACCTTTTTATGTCCCTTATTCTAAGGAAAAAAGGAGGAGGAACACCTGACTCTAGGAACACAGGAAGCTGCCTTGCGTTTAGTCACACCATTGACCCAGCTCAGTATTGTCTGCACTGACTGGCAGAGTCTGTCCAGGGTTTCATGGGACATTTCAAGCCCTACTTGGAGATGCTGGGGACTGAACCTGGATCCTTCTTCAAGAAAAGCAGATGCTCTACCGCTGAGCTACATCCATTCTCCACTCAATTTGCACTTATTTTCCCTCTCAAATCTTTCTCCAGTGCCGTCACTGTCATACACAGTCTAGATGCTCTGGTTACATGATAGCCTAATATCCTCTAGATATACTTACAGAAAATGTCGATCAGGCTATGTAATTCATTTGCTTAGCTCTTATCGGGGAAACCGGAGACCTGCTGGCAGAGAAATTATGGCATAATGGGTTTCATAATTTTCTAAATATCTCTGGCTTCCAGAATTGGAGGATGAGAGCAAACAGAGCAACTGCAGTTTTAAACAGAGGATATGCTGTTAATTGTGCTTTGTCACCTTTGAGACCAAAGGACTGCCACTCTGATTGGCTATCTGGCTTATCACTTGACAAATTCATTCTTGGCACAAGGTTGATATAAAGCTGATATTCCCAGGGAGTTGGAAAACATTTCTTCCCAAAATTTAACATATCAATCTGAATTGCTCTGTCATCTCTTCAGGAATATAGAAGATAATAATTGGTACTGCAACTCAGTTTTATGGACTTTTCCATTGGCGAATAGAAACTGTGGAGATGACTGTGGAAACTGTTCACACATGCATGGTTGTTTGTGTGAAATGGTGTACATGCATTACTTTGTGAAGCTCAGCAATTGTGTACACAGGCACACAGACTGTGCAGACATGGAATGTTACCTGTAGATAACTGTATGAATATACAATTCAACTATCCGTGTACACAGATTGTACACATGTTGAATTTAATTTTTGAACCCCTGTATTGTTATCCAGTCTGAAATCTTTAGGTAGGGTAGGATGCATAGAAATAAGTGGTTAACTATTTCTAACTGTACTTCTAGTCCTACATTTTGAAAGATGAAATGTTATCATCTTCTTTTTCTTAAGAAAACTAAATGCAGGATAGCACTTTAAAAATAAGTATAAATCTGAAGTGAGAAAAACAGTCCAAGATATAGTTCATTGGTAAGTGGAACTAATAACATTAAAAACTCTTGCACACATATCACACACACATTGGGGATATGTGTAAAGTCAGCTATTGACCTGTTCCAATCCTTAGCAATAAGCAAAGAGTCAGCAGCTGTGTTTTATACCAGGAGGCAGCTCTACTGAGTGTGAAATGATTCTTGGAAATTCAGTATATGCCAAGATCAGGGTAACAGAAACTTCTTACAGCTCTAAATAGCAGCATCTTGAAAATAACCTCATTTTGTAAAACAAAAATGAGAAAGATGTGTTGTGTGAAAGAAGAAAGGTATCAATTCCATGGCTGAATTGGCATTCAGACACTCGGCCCAAAGGCTGCACTTCAGCGGCAATTTTTTAACTCTATCAATACTATCATTAAAAGACTGTAGAAAGGTTTTTCTTTTCTTTTCTTTGGCGGATGGGAATTCTAATATGTGGAACTATCGGCCCAGCATTGCTGCTAGTACAGATTCGATCTGCTGCCTTTTCTGTTCCAGCCCAGATGTCAAGTTGCCCTCTGCAATCAAGAAATTGAAGACTCATAGAATTCTGTCACTGTGTGACATTTCACACAGATAAATGTTAAACGCAAGCTGGTTAACTAGCAAGTAAGCGTTCCCTGAGTTCAATTCAATCATGAATTTGCTTTACCAGAATGCATTTTTCACAGCAATCAGGGTACCTATTACCTCTCACCCAAGCTACTGCAATCCTGTATACCATCACCTATAATATTCTGAAGTGTGGTTTTTTTGGGGGGAAAAACAAGGAACATTTAAAGTTTCTGTTTGAAAGGAAAAGGTCTAAAACTTGTTAATTTTCTGTCGTAATCAGATTCAAATTGCAGGCACGGTCATCCTATGGGATGAAACAGTTCTACCACAAGGGCAGAATCACAGTCAAATCTCAAGGGTGAGCCACATGTATCTTTCAGCATCCCTCTCCTAGATTGAAAGGTGCTGCGGAAATTATTTACTAAGATAATAAGCTAGAGCTCTCCATCAAAACAACATATACTTTAACTTCTTCACATCTCCCATCTTGAGCTCTGAATATTTTCCCCGTCACCTTAACATCATTTGGGAGGGGAGGGGGCATTTAGCTTTATGGAAAAACCAAGGCAAAGAGTGACTGGAAAAGTTTGGACACTCTCTGACCTGTCTTGATGCACCACATGAATTGTGCAATCTGACACAGTAATGTGAAAGACTCCCCTGAATTACTCCAATTTACTTTATTATTTGGAATGCACACAGAGTCGATGCATACTCCTGGCATGTACATACTAAGTACTCAAACACACACACACACACCCGTTTCAGCTGTAAAATTTGGTTAAAGTGTTTTGTTTTCAGGGAGAAGGGAGAGAAGCAAATTCTCCTTTTGACATTCATCTCAGCAGATGAGCCTTCAACCTGCATGCTTTAGAATTTCACACCTTTCCCATTTTTTTGCTGAAATCTGTAATATACTTGTATTTTCCTAGGGTGTTTTCCCTCATCTCCTGCATAGCTCACTCAGGTTTGCTCTCCTGTGTCCACAGATGATAGCCAAAAATGTTTCATAGGCTTATCTTATTTCTTCTGTAGATTTCTTATACCTTCACATACTATTCCCGGGAAAATGTTTCTCTATAAATGAAGAGAAGTTGTTCACCTCTTCCTTTCCTCTTTCATGAAGATGCATCATGTGAAGTTCTTTTGTTCAGCTGGAGGAAGCATCCTCAAGGGACTATGTGAGGAAGAAAGCCTTCCTCCAATACTGGTCAGATGTGTCAGCCTTTCTCTCTCTGGTTTAATTCCACACACACACACACACACACACACACACACACACACGAACTTCTCTCTCCTGGCTCAGGTAAACTGAGAAGTTAGGTAGATCATACTTTATTTTCTCTCTGCATTACTCTCTTTACTTTGTTAAAAAAATACCAAAGTTGTGTCTATTGTGATTAATCAGACACTGCAAATATCTTCCCAGCCTACACTTTGTTCTAGTCTGCAAACTGAGGTGCCTGGATTGCCTCTAAAAACTCCAGTGGTGGCAGTTGTGTGTGAGTTTTCCTGCCTAAAATGCAGTCCCCAGCTTGTGACAATGCTCTCTTTCTGTGGGAGATTTTAGCAGTCAGATCTAACAATGTATATTTTCTAGTTAGTATATGGAGGGGTTAAAGACCACTGAGTTCTAAATTGCTAGAGTAGGCTCAGTGAGGTCCTGCAGCCTCTTCTCCTAAGAGGGAGGAAGTAAAGTCTGTTTCCTGTTCCATTCTCCAGTCCTTCATTCATGCTGCAAGCAATGGAAGCAGGCGTGCCTCAACTTAGCTCCCAACCTCAGATACTTGTCTGATGCTGCTTTGCTGTATTTCTTCTTAAGTATTTAACCTGCATTCTGCTGCTGCATCAAGGAAAATGCCTGTCTGAGACCTAGAAACTGTAAGTAGTCCGTTTTAAACTTCTTTTGCAGCCTGTGGTCTGATTTATTGAAAAAGGCATAAAAGAGGGGCAGCTGCTTCACACAGCTGAATGAAATAAATAAGGCTTAATAGCCTACTCCTATACAGTGGTGCCCCACAAGACGAATGCCTCGCAAGACGGAAAACCCGCTAGACGAAAGGGTTTTCCATTTTTGAGTTGTTTCGCAGGACGAATTTCCCTATGGGCTTGCTTTGCAAGACGAAAATGTCTTGCGAGTCTTGAGATTTTTTTTCGCTCCCCCCCTTTTCCTAAGCTGCTAAGCCTTTAATAGCCTTTTAGCAGCTAAGCCGCTAAGCCGCTAAGCCTTTAATAGCCGCTAAACCGCTAATAGCGCTAATCCGCTAAGCCTCTAATAGGGTTGCTTCGTAAGACGAAAAAACCGCTAGACGAAGACACTCGCGGAACGGATTAATTTCGTCTTGCGAGGCACCACTGTATATCATCAAACTGCCTAAGAGCGGGACAAAATGCTCTGCTTCTGGGGCTCTCTGTGTACTAGCCCCGCATTTTTAAAACTGGCAGCACTTGATTTTCCTTTGTTGTTAACCCACACATGGGTCTTTAGAGGATCAAATATAACTAATACAGCCTCTTCCCAATTCCCAACACTTCCAACATCTAGCAAAATTGCACAGTGCTATCTGCAGACATTAGTGTGTCATTAGCATGCACATTCCCAGAATGCCTTGCTCTTCCTCTGCTTCAAATGGAGTGAATCTAAGATTGATTTTTGTCTTTCAGCAAAAGTTAAAATTAAAATGCATTGCCTCTGAAATAAACAGTATATTAAAAGAAACAGTCTCAAATATTGCCTCATGTGACATTTAGTTGCTCACTATCATGAAAACTTCAACTAAAATACCAGAGGAAATTTGTGCCGCCCTCCTTATTTTCTTGTGCATAGAATATAATGTAAAAAATTATTTCTGGCTTTAGTGCTTGAACAGCAATGAATTGCTACCTTAATGTTCTCACCTACGATTTTATTTTGAGATGGTAAATCATAGGGCTGGATCAGAACAGAGATGTTTCTGTGTGAAGTGATGCCGTCTAAGCCCCACATGGAAATTAGCATCTATGCCTTCAAAGAGCACATAGAGGGAAGAGTGAGACTGAGCATGCTAGACTTATGCCTCCACTGCCAGAACTTCATACATTGCATGGGAGACCAAAATCTGCATATGTCTGGCTAAACGTACATAGGCTCAAGAATGTAATTGGGAGCCCTGCACTTATATGGAGGAATCTATATTTATTTAGGTAAATGCAGACCTAAATAGAGAATGTGCAAAGTTCTAAAGTGGAGCCAGCAGCGTCAGTGATGTTGAAAGGTATGGGCAGCACTTTATTTGAATGTTTTCCCCACTTCCTTGCAGACACAGTTGAATGCATGGAAGCTAATTTCTGAAGGGGGTTCAGAAATTGATCTCTTCTGCAGCCATAGAGCTGCGGTAATTATGTTTAGTTGTTAAAGAAAATATGGGTTATATTCAACTAAATTTGACTAAATGGTTGCATTACTGGAAGCAAGTAAAAGGATCCCCACCAGTGCAATAGGACTTCGCCTCTCCAGAACAGCACATGAACCACCATGAAGAGGATCTGCGGAAATATTTTTGCCTGCTATGTATTTGGTTTCAATATGCACACAAGAGATCATTTCCAGACATGGAGACTGGAAGCAAATTTGGAGCTAAATGGATTTGGAACTGGTATCGTTTCCATAGGAATACGATGGCATTTTAATGCCAAAGCACAACTTTATCTGAGTTACATGAGGGATAGTCGAAAGCTTCCTTGCATGCAAACATCTGGATTGGCCTGTAGGAAGAGCAGCCTAATTGCCACTACAACTGGATCTGCTGTGGGCATGAAACAACCATGTGCTTGGTCTGTACAGACCATTAATGGCTTTTGCGCAAGTGTCCACAACCAGGCCACATAAATAAGGCTCTCTGGTGGCTATGCGCAATGGAAATTGTAGTCTTCATTGCCACATCACCACAGGAGCTGCTGATATCTGCTGTTCTCATACATTCCAGTCTTTTGCTTTGTATATGCACCTGAACTGGAGATTTGTATAAGATGAATTAAATGGGGAAATGGTGGCACAAGATGAAAGGACAGGTTAAAAAGGTCTCTTTTGATGATGTGAGGTACTAATTTCTGTTCTGTCAGGTCCCTGTTGCGAAGCTTTTGAAATGCTTGCTAACTTCCATGATTGCTCAGCTAAAGAAATACAATATATCCTGGATTTGCTTTGATGAGATTCACAGGATTCACTGTGTTTCCTCGTATTTTCATAAAGCGCTCATTAAAGTCATGGTTCCCACTGAAGTTAATGCAGGAGGCTCCACTATTTTTCACAGCTATTATAGCTCTACTAAGGCAAAACCAATGTTGGATAGCTTCCCACCGGTAATATCGCATTGATGTGTTGCAGATGTTCAGTGGAGAGGGCACCACATGTGCTCTGACAGAAAGGCACTTTAGCTTTGACTAAGGGCATATTCACAAGGCCAATCTGACATGGCAATTGGACAGTGAGTTGTGTTGATAATGAAACAGTTGTGTGATTTTTTCACCATGACTACAACTTGCAGCATAACCCCAGTTTAGATCACTTTAATCAGGGCTTTGAAGCAGCAAAGTAAATGTTGGCTGAGTCATGAACTGTATTGTATGGTTTTCTTCTGTAGCAGCCACCCATGTGGTGGTGCTTGCTGAAGTTCCATCTGCTGGTGCTAAATGTGAATTTGATGTCTGCCACTGCTGAGCAACAACTGAGGAGAGGTTCTGCTGCCTTGGAGGAGGTAGTGCTACACTATGCAGTTATTCGTACACACCAGCAGAAGCTAGCTTCTAGGCATGATGTAGGGGCAGGAGGAGACAGGAGAGAGCTGGGAATGTGGAAAGTAAGACTAGAGAAACTATGAAGTGGGGAAAGGTAGTCAGGAAAAGCTGATATTTTAGTCCTAAATGTCAGAACTGCCTGCAACAGCTGTACAGTTCTGACAAGGAGAATGTTAATTTTATCTGTGATGGCCTTCCTTGTACAGAATATATTTTCTGCTTACAAGAGGGTGATACTAGAACAGGGCAGCCTGTTTGCCCCCCCCCCCCCACACAAGCCACAGGCAGCAGTAGATAGTTTGGGGCTGCATGCCAGTGGGCATGACTTTGATGGGCAGTAGGTATGGCCAGAGCTGGTTGTGGGTGTGGCTTGGCCTGGCAATGGGTGGGGCTAGTCACACATGTATCCACACACCCTCCTGCAGAGAGGAAAGGTTAAGCTTCCCACCACACCTCTTGTGCAAGAGTCTGAGGAACACCACTGATGCTATTTTCTGCTCACGGTTCTTTGGATCCCAGCTTTTTAATCTCTAACATTGTATTTTTTAAACTAACGATATCTGTCTGTATCCTTGCAATATGTTTGTATCTCTCTGTGTGAATACATTTTATTAGCTTTCTTACCTGTCCTTTGCCATAAGGTCCCAGGGCAGTATACAACAATGGAACTTATAATTATAAAAGAGTCGCTATCATGATATGAATAAAATGTGAAAACACAGTTCCATATATAAAGCGATGAAAAATGATGCCGTATATAAAGGCAATACAAACATTTAAAACCAATTCTACATCTAAAACTGTTTCAACACAGATGCAGACTGTTATAAATATATGCTTATAGATATATGTTTCTAAATGATGAAATAATCGCACAACAAAGTAGCCTGTGGAAATGTTTGCTGACCTACATATGTTTAGATTTTCGTCACACCTATAAAGCCTTTGGCTAATCCTTAGTCCTCATCCCAAGATGAAACAAAAGCTAAGTCTTGGCTCACACCACTTTCTTGTTTCCTTGTTCCTACCCTCTGTGAGCATGGATCCAAAACTGTTTTTTATTTATAAATGTGGGTGGGTTGCAATTTTTTTTAAAAAACAGGATCAAAACATGTTATGTTAGCTTGTAAGAGAAAGCTCATGTAAGGGCAACAAGGGTGTACCTATTTATGGTTCGATAGAGCATTTCAGTCCCAGGGCTGTCAGTCAAGCAGTGAATTCATTTCAGGAGGACATACTTGTAGAGGGGCTTCCATTTCACAATGCTTGTTTCTTACTTCACGCAGCAGACATTCCAATATGCAATCACTTCATCTTAGGAGATGCTATTATCAGATGGCTCTTGACGGTTATGGCTCTTTCTACCTCTCAGGCAAGTCTAGCAAAGTTTTAAGAAATTCAAAACACAGGCATATGAGACAGAGATGTATTTGGTGATGAAAAGAAAAGAGCCTTTCATCTGAGGATCCACAGCTAATTTTTGCAGTTCAATAGTGTGACTAAGACTGCAATCTTAGCCCCACTTACATGGGAATAATCCCCATGGAATTCAACCGAAGTTCTCAATACATATGGTCAGGATTAGTCCTATTAAAACAGAGTGATCATATGTATTTTGTTGGGTAAGTGTGATTCTATAGTTACCATTGGACTTCCATTCCTATTATCTTTGACCACTGGCCATGGAAACTGGAGCTGAATAAAGTTGGAATCCAACAAGATTTAGGGGGAAGTGGGGGCATAGGTTTCCCAGCCCTGATCTTGGGATCCTAATTTGAACACTATATTTTCCCTACTGAAATATGATAACGATGTTCACATAGCAAATAGTCTTATTACTGTAACGATATATTCCAACTGAATGTTAATTTTATAAAAACTGTATGGGATCATATGTGCATATCAAGGGCAGAATTATGGGTGGTATCCAATGAGATATTTTCACTAGTACAAGCATGAGCATTAGCACTATGGGATTCCCCAGTCTCCTTCCCCTGCACATGCCACACATAACCCCCAAATCTGCTTTGGGAAGAAGAAGAAGAGTGTGGATTTGATATCCTGCTTTATCACTGCCCGAAGGAGTCTCAAAGTGGCTAACATTCTGCTTTCCCTTCCTCCCCCACAACAAACACTCTATGAGGTGAGTGGGGCTGAGAGACTTGAAAGAAGAGTGACTAGCCCAAGGTCACCCAGCAGCTGCATGTGGAGGAGCGGAGACACGAACCCGGTTCCCCAGATTACGAGTCCACCGCTCTTAACCACTACATCACACTGGCTCTTAGGGCTTAGGGGAGCCCCAGAACTGACTTAGGGTGCTGCAGAGAAAGGAATGGGGGAGAACATTCCATTCCACAAGGAACATTCTCTTTAGCACTAATATAAAATATTTTCATATGAGAGATCTATGTGTCCATATGAGAAAAAGCAAATGTCAGTCAAGACACCAATCAGAAGCTGAGGAAAACATGGAGGCAAAGTCAGGCAAGAACTGCAGACATAGGAGAAGCCACTGTCCAAACCTAGAATGTTTCAATTTGAATTGTTGAATACAACTAAGAAATGGGATGCTCAGAATGCTCGAGAGTCTATGTGAGCCTATAAAAAAATGAGCTGTGAACTCACGGGGCAGTTGTGAGATAAATGTATTGAATGAGAAAAATCTGAATTCAAACCTTATGTATACCAACACCTGACAATTTGGTTGACATTAAGAGAAAAACCTGAAAAACAAGCTACAGTTCAGCAGTATTTTCCCATTGACAACCATCTTTAATGAGCACAGCTCCATACCAGTGGTTATAAATGCCAAGAACTCATGAAAGATTTGTATCTGAGCATAAGGAGATACAGTTATTGGCACGCCTTGGACTGATAGGTGGTCTTGAATTAATGCTGGCACATAATGAGTTGCCAAAGATTAGGTGGATTTGTTATTGTAGATATCAGTCTCTGACTCAGAAGGATGAACCAGGACTGAAGAAATATGAGGCAGCAGAGCCTTCTTATCACCAAGAGGAAAGTCTGTTATGTCTGAGAGCTAATTTAATACTGGGGGAAAGTGCTGTACTTTTTCAGTTTGGAGCTTACTTTGCTTGCATGAGGAATGAGATGCAGCTTTCTTCCACTTGTCTGTTAATGTGCCTCAAACCAGACTAATGGGAGGCTGCTTCTGGGAGCAACCGTCCAATGGTGATACTTTTGTAATGGATGTAGTTAACATATGAAATGGAAATTTATGAACAGTTCTGAATAAAACCATATGCTAAGTATACTATAGGATACTGCTCGGTCAAACCTGGAGGCCTGCTCTACTGTAATATTTAACTGCCTTAGGACGTTCCTGCAGGAGTGCCCCGTGGTTCCTTCCCACCCTTCTGCGGTATGTATTTGTCACAAAATACATAATAAAAAATAATTAAAACAGTTAACAATACTAATGTATACAAACTAATAAAAAACTAATAAAAATACACACATTCCACCCCAGTCCACCAGGGGCGGCCCTGTCCCTAGGGCAGGCGGGCTTTATAGTGCTGCCCCAGCAATTGGTGCATATCTAGCTGGGGCAGCATGTGTTTTCAATGCTGCCTGCCTGCCCAGAGTGCTAATAATAATAATAATAATAATAATAATAATAATAATAAATTTATAGTTACATACAAAGTAGCCTTTGAGGTGGAGCATTGATTTCTAATGAAGAAACACCATTCAGCAATGTTAGCTTGGCAGCTGAAATTGTCTATAAAGGGAAATGAATTTGAATACTTCCTACTTTTTACACTCTAAAGGCAAATTGAGGGGGGAAATGTTGAAAACTATTCATTTTCTTACATTTATATTTCAGTTTTCTTCTATTACGGCTCTCGATGCTGTACATGTGTGCTTCCTATGTCCCCACTGTGGAAGGACATGTGGATCCAGAATTGGCCTCCACAGTCACTTATGGACTCACTGTTAAAACTGTGTTTATGGAAGACAATCTTACTCGGCTACGAGTGATCGCCGAAGAGGAAGAAGAAAAGGAAGACATGTGCTTCCTGGGCAGTCACTCAACTAGGCACTGACCAGACCTAGACCAGCTTCAGCAAG